GAAAAGCACCTTAGACGAGGGAGGACCACCTTTGCTCCCTTAGAATCTAGTCCATCTTCCCCCTTCACTTGCTGGATATGTTTTTCTTTTCCCTACCTTCTTCCTTTTTCTGACCTGAACAACGAAGAAGTCCTCTATGTAGATGCATAGCACCATCCCTGGGGTTCCTTGAGCCTTTCAACATTTCAGATGATACAGAATTCTGGCTGAATTAAGGTCCCATGAAGCTCTGAATCTGAACTTCCAAAACTTCCCCTGGGGATCCCTGTTGTATTAAAAGTGCTGTTCTACTATATCTCTAAAGAGCTAGGGTTTTCCCATGGCTCAGGATGTGGTGACCCGGTGACTGCATAGGAAACTGTCACATCACAAAGGATTCCTGCACTTTGGATTTGTGCACTTACTGCACCAATCCCATGACCTGAATTGAAACCCCAAATTCACAAAAACGGGAAGAACTGAGTCCATAAAGTTGTTTCTGACATTGACACATGTGCATTGTGGCATGTGTGTAATCCCTATGCACCCATCATACAAGCTCACCCAATGAAAATATAACACTTTAAAAAGCAAGAAAGTCAAGGTCTGGAGATATGGATTTGTTGGTGTTTTCTGCAGAAACAGAAAATGTCTAGTTCAGATTGCCAGCATCCTCCCAAAAGGCTTGGAGGAACAGAACCTGACTGCAGTGTCAGCTCAGAGGAGTAGAGAGTGAAGGAGCCCTGGAGTAAGGACTAGGAATATCGCACCACACCACAGGTTAAATGAGAAATGAGTGGGAAAAAAATACAGCTGCAAAATGTTTGAGGAAGATCCCTGAACTCACTCAAACTCTGGCCTTCACAATCACATGTGCGCGTGCGCACACACACACACACCAAACAACAACAACAAAAGTCAAACACAGAAATATACAAATAATGAAATTGGAAAGGATCTGAGCCCAGAATTCACGTATGACCAGGTACAGTAAGGTTCTGACTCCTACAACTATACATTAACCATGTCCCCAATGCTGTACATCTATAATGAAGCTAGATAATGTCCCTGTGCTTTGAGTGAACTTCTACGGCCTTCGTGGATAGCCTTTCCACTGTGGCCTATGCCTCGCCAAATGCTTGGCTCCTGGGTACTAACTAGACCCTGCAGGGTGAATCACACTCCCTCTTCCAGCCCGGTCTGCCCTTTGCCTTCAAACAGAACTTCATGTGTTATGGAGATATATTTAAATTACTATGCAAATGAAAGCAAAACAGACCTACAATTGGCTTGCACCTCCACTGCTCTTGCAAAATATCAAATGTTCATGGCTAGAAATCACCTGACACAAGCTTTTCCTTATTAGCACAGTCCCCATGACCAAGACCCAAATCCTAGCCTGTCTGTGACAGCCACCTGTGAGAGAAGGTAGGGCCAAAAGGTGGAGAAGCCTCTGGATCTCCCCTCCATGGGAAGCAGATGTTGAGGGAGATGGCTGGCAGCATGGTGGGTCCCTGCCATCTGGACTCCTCTGAGCAGATGGGGCACAGCTGCCCTGGTGGGAGCGCAACTGGGCTCCTGGCTTGGTACTGAGACTGCCTGCCCTGGGTAGCTTCTCCACACATCAGAGCTGCTCACTCTGCCCTGACAACTCCGAGCCAAGTAGGCGGCCTCTTTCAGCCTTCTTCCCAAAAGGTTTCCCTGGGAAGGCTCCAGGGTCCTCTGCTGAGTCCTATCTGGTGTTCCTTTAGAAACAGCTACAAGTTCAGCTCCAGCTTCAACCCTGGCTCTGCTTTTCTGCTGATACTTCACTTACAATCCTGCCCCTCTGCCCTTGTCGTGATCTTCGCGAATGGAAAGGACTGCGGAGCACTGTTTCTAGACTCACATCACCCTGTGAGAACACACCCCTGTAGCTAAATTGAAGATCGCCCATTGTTCCCTGTATTCCCCAGCAGTGATCGGGTATTCAATAATATCATCCGTATGTATTTCGTCTGTGTGGTAGGGTGGGGATGAAGGGAGGTAGGAAGAGGTAAATCCATGTGTTCCTGTGTGAGAGTGTGGGGCACATGTCAGGTATACCGGAACACCAGAGTGTGCATGGAGCGTCAAAGGACAACCTTGGTGTCTTGGTCTTTACCTTTCTGCCTTGTCATGAGATAGGGTGAGAGACTCAGTGTGTCAGCAGAGTTAGCTGGCCTGCAAGCTTTTCCAGATTCTCCTGTCTCCGCCTCACATCCCTCAAAGGCACACTGGGATTATCACTGCTTCTGCCCCAATCTGGTGATTGTCAGGCATGAACTGTCGGGATTCTGCCCACTGAACTATCTCCTCAGTCCCATCCAAATCATGGGGTTGTTGATGTTTGTTTGCATTAGTGAAAAATGCCCACATTCCATGCAGAGGGATTCTGAGGAAGTTGATTCGGGTAAAATATTCTACAGAAGTCTGTTTCAAAGGCTTTTGTTGGACCCTCTCCTTAGCCTAGCACCCAAGCCTTCAGGGAATTCGGTTCTCTTCAACCTGCTTTGACTGGCCTTGTCTCTTTCATTTATCTTTTTCTGTTTTCCGATATCTATTTCTGTGGTCTTGGCAGATGTCTGTCTCCTAGAATTTCTGCTCCCTGAACTGAACTCCGTCGCCTACCTACTCTGTGAAACATTCCTAGATTTTGAGTAGGGAGGTAGTAAAGCCTCTTTCTTCCTGCCTGTCATTACTGTCTCACCTAGAGCTGTTAGTTTACAACTGTGTGTTATTGGGTTGATTTTTGTCTTTGATTTTCATTAGCATATATTATCTATATGTAATTGGTTTCACACACATGCACAATATATTTTGATCATATTCACTTCATTACACTCTCTCCCGTCCCCCCCCCCCAACTCATACTGTCCCCTCCCCTTCCAAACTGGTCCTCTTGCTACTTTCATGACTTTGCTTTTAATAGCCAATGAGTTTTGTTAGCATTGTTTACAGGAGCATGGTAGGGAGTTACAGGTTCTGGGGTTACTTAATAGTGGCTACACTGCTGGTGGAAATGCCCTCTTATCTAGCATCGATTAACTGGGCAGAAAATATGGTGGGCTGAATTGTCATGAGCTCCTCACACTCTGGGATTGGTGGGCCAGACCTTGTGTAGGTCTTATGTTGGTAATCAAAGTTCCTGTAAATTCAAGAGTGCAAACAACCATGCTATGCCCAGAGTCAGTCTAAGTGTCCATTGGCTAGGTTGCTCTAATTTTTTGTCTGCTTCATTGGCTTAAAGTCAGTGTTTTAACCTTTTGTTATAATTGCCCCTGCCTTTTAACTGTGGTTAATTCCAGAATTCGAAGGCATATGATGTTAATGTCTGTACTTTTCCAACCCCAAGGGTGTTTTGGACTCATGGTTTTGTCCATCAATGTGACTTCACATGAGATGCTAGAGCATACACCTCTAGTAGGAGTTGCAATCCCTAGAGCCATCTTTAAGTACAGTCAGTGAGGAAACTGAGGCAATTAGAAGGAAAGCAGCTCAGGACACAGCCAGGCTCATTGAAGATAGTCTGAATAGTCAACATGTATCCATTGTGGTGTTATGGCCTGAGCAGTCAATATCACTGTTTATTTCAGTGTTCAATGGGCCATAGTCAAGCAGTAATCTCCCTAGATGGCAATTTTTTTGAGAGACAAAACTGTGCCTTCATGGCTAATTCCTAGTACAGCTTCCCCAGTAAGGTCGGTCAGGATCAAGACAAGTTGCTTTTAATTAGCAACCTCTTTGCCCCCCAGATGCTCAGGGAATTGTCCTCTGATGGTGTTTGACCCCTTTAGCACTGCTACCAAACTGGTATGATCATATTTGCAGAGGATGAGTCAGAGATCAGGGAAGGCAGCTGACTCAGCAATGTTTTATCATAAACTAAGGGAAAAAAACTGTTGGAGTCCAGAAAGACAGTTCAGCCAGTAAAGGTGCCTTCCACAAAGCCTGAGCACTTGACTTAGATTCCTGGGATCCGAGTAGTGGGAGGAGAGATTCAATTGGCACAAATTGTTGTTTGACATTTACATGTGAACATATACACCCCACACACATATAATCAACTAAATATATTAAAGTTTCTACAGTTGGCGCTCAATAATCTGGTCCCGGTTGCAGTAGGAGAGACTCTCTGCTTTGCAAGGGGGCTGGCCTAGTCTCTTTTGTAATCTGACATGAAAGTGCACATGTCTGGAGAATGAGGCTTTATAGGACACAGGGAAGGCTAATAGGATATTGAGGAGGATATGCTCAAAGCACATTACATTCTTAAACAGAAACTACCCTCATGTAGCTGTGATGAGTCATGTCAATTGTCACCTTGATGCAATCTAGACTCACCCAGGAGCAAGCCTTCAGGAACACTCAAGATGGATTATAGAAATAAAGGTTAGACTTAGAATATGTGTGATTATAGTAGTTTACTTGGGAAGACCCAGCTTGAGTAGGCGGGGTCATTCCCTGGGCTGGGCCTCTGATCCTGGACTGAGCTTAGTGGAGCCAGCAAGCTAAAAAGCAGCAAGTGTTTATCCTTGTGTTTCCTAAGTGTGGGTGTTTTGTAACCAGCTGCACCTGCTGCTTGACTCCCTTGCCACTGTGAACAGTATCCTTGAGCTGAGCCATGAAATAAACCCTGTATCCTTTGAGTTAATTTTGTCAGGGTATTTTATCACAGCAACAGGAAAGGAAACTAAGACAACGTCCCTACATAATTAAACAATTTGCCAGAGCTAGTATATCCCAGTGGTGAAGTGCTCTCATATTGGCCATGCCAGGGCCCGGTTTTGATTCTAGGAACCAATGGTTAAAACAAAAACAAAAAGCAGTAGAATTTGGGGATACAATGGCTGGTCTCATTTTGAGGGGGGGTTTAAGAGGGTATCATTTTTAGGGTTTTCTTTTACAGTCATTCATCAGCACCCTAGTTAATATATAGCATGCCTTTATTTGGCCACAAATCTCTGTTTGTCCCTTTTGTGTCTAGGCCAAAACTATCAGAAATGGCGTTGGACAAGAGACTAAGCTGTAAGGCAGAGGAGGGAGATGACCCTCATGAAACAACCTTTCCTCTTTCTTTTGCAGGCAGTGACTTGAATGATGGCCTGTGGCATTCCGTCAGCATCAATGCCAGGAGAAACCGTGTTACTCTCACTCTGGATAATGGTGCTGCTTCCCCGGCTCCAGACACCTCTCGACTGCAGATTTATTCCGGAAATAGTTACTACTTTGGAGGTAAACTCCCTAGCCTTTGAGACTTCAAATAAAAGGACAGGGGACTTGTTCTTAACATATGCTTTGTCAGCTAGGCAACCCTCCCCACAGCTCTGCCTGCACACACAACGTGCACACAAGCCCCAGACAGTGAGAAACCAAAACCTCAGACAACTGTGCAAACGTAAACTAGCTAGGGCACTGCTGAGGATAGAAGGAACAGCAGCTACAAGAGCTGGCTTACATAACTCATCAAAGGAGATTCTTTCAGCCGTGCCAAGCTCCATGGTCCTAGCTGAAAACTTCCAGAACAGGATCTGAGAGTCAGCAATTGCATGCAAGATGGAAACTCAAATGGGAGGCACCACCAGCCTGCTCAGTCATCCAGGTCACGCCACTGCCACTGTTTTTGTGAGCCTTGTCTCCCCTTTCCTATGTCTTGGAGTTCACCCACACCCACAGAGGAATGTGTGGATAGGAGCTAGGGTCCACAGGGGGAGCCATTGCTATTTCTGGATGGCTGCTCTTTCTAATGTTTGCGGAACCCTTGCAACATTCCTAGTGACACCAAGCAAAACAAACTGGGATGGGCGAAGCTTACGAGGCAGTTTACTATTTTTATAAATAAACCCATGTGGTGTAGTTTTACAATTTTTATTTATCATTCTCTCATGCAATACATACCATGCCATGCTGAGTAGTTTAAGTGTGTCTTTTATTGAAAGAGAGAGTGCCTACTTCTGTAATCTTGGTCTGTCTTACAGAAGCCACATCTAAAGCTCTTAAGATATAGTCCCTGGACTCACATTCCTAGAACACGGAGAACAATTTCAGGATTTCTGGGAGATGTGAGCAAGAGCAGAAGACAGGCTTAGTGAAGCATAGTGGTGGAGGGCTTGCTCAGCATGTAAAAGGCACTGGTCTCTACATACAGCACCACACACACACACACACACACACCCAAACCCCATGCACACTCCACACACAGTACCACATGCACACCCAAACCCCATGCACACTCCACACACAGCACACATGCACACCCAAACACCATGCACACTCTCCACTCACAGCACCACCACTGTAGGGACAGTGGCACAAACTGGCTCAGCTCTTGTGGATATGAGCCTGAAATGACCCTGTCCTAGAGCTGACAGTTCCCTCACATGAGGTGACTGAAGACAAGCGCTGAAAAATAGCATCACTGAAGAGAAGGCAAGATGTCTGTCTCCCTGGGCAAAGGCACTTGTTGATCAAATCTAAGGACTTGAATCCTGTCCTTGGAACACATAGTGGGAGAAGGGAATGGACTCCATAAATCTGTCTTTTGACTTCCACAAATGCATGGCTGCACATGCTTATCTGCACTCTTTTGCTCACACATAATAATAAAAAATAATAATAGCAATAAAACATAGACTGTCATTACCTGGAATCTCCCACAAACTAATCATACACTTTCCACTGAACTCCATCCCAAACACTGTTGTCTCTTAGCTCCGAAATCTACAAATCATCCATTTCTTCCAAAGGAAATGTATGGAAGGCTTGACATACAAAAGGGTCTTTGCACAGGTACAGAATTGATATGCAGGGCCTCCTTGGAAGGAAGCAATGAGGAACAAGACGAGTGAGGTTGGATTTTAGCATGAGGAAGTCCCAGTGTCCTTCCCTTACAATCACCATTACACCCACAGCAGTAGCATATACCTTTAGGTGATAGTATTTCCATATGACAGATAATAAGGCTTGTGTTTGTTGAAATAGAATAATCTGTAGGTTGGAAAGATAGCTCAGTCATAAAGTACTTACTTTGTAATCATAAGGACCTGTGGGAGGATGGCTAGAGCCTCCAGAAAGCCAACCTTTGTATACATGCCTGTAATCTTCAGGCAACAAATGCCAGTGAACCTGGCATACACAGTGGCAAACAGAAAACACATCCTCAGAAAAGGTAGAATGCACCATGTCTTGTAGTTGCTCTGTAATACCCATGCATAGACTGTGACATGTGCGCACCCATACTCACATACATTGTCACTAGAAGGTTAATAATAATCTGTAAACAGCTATGGAGACACTGCCTATATGGAGAAAATTCAAATCTGTGTTCACTGCAGCCCCCTAGTGAAAGCAAGTGATTGGGGAAAAAATGCAGAGAAATGCTCACAACCCCAAGTTGTGTATTCTATATCACATACTATATTTTAGCAATAGAGAAAGAATGATGGTCAAGAATTTATTTGCAGGCAAAATGGCTTTGAATAATCATGTTACAGTAATCATCTGAAATATCCCAGAGGCAAAAATGGCTCTCCTCCTCCAGCAAGAATATTGCTAAATTCTGGGTGAGTTTCCATGGGTGCTAGCCTTAAAGTGTGAAGATTTATCTATGATTTGAACAGTGTTTAAACAAACCCTCACACACAGACTGTAAACTTAAGGAAGGTGAAAAATGAGCTTCAGTAATAATAGTCAACTTCCATAAATTCTCTCTACAGCTTCAATTAGAAGTTGTAGCATCTCTTCATTTTATAGTGTGCCTGTGAGCTGTTAACCAGCTGCTGGGCTTCAGCCCCGCAGTGACTGTCTATTAGAGATGGCTGAAATAATTCCCCATTATTTATGGCTTATTGCAGTGTTTCAGGCTCACATTCCCATATGCTCTGAACCTATTAAAACCACCAAGATGGAGTTTGTAAGAGCACACATGCTCATCTACCTCCACGGTCTCCACCCATCTTAATGAGGAGTAGGTTGTCCTGGCTGCAGGTGATGCTAAACAGGTGCAAAACATTTTTATCTCTAAAGAACACTCTTTAAGAGATATGGTGTTAACCTTTTGCATGTGCTATTGCAGCCTATAACTATGTGCGCTTAAGCCCACAGTTCTCTTAACGTCTGGATTGGTTTTGCACAGCATGTACAAATCCTGCTTGGCTTCTGAGAGTACCTTTCTCGTGAACTAAGCCTGTTAATACTCCGCAATTAACCAGACAATTACTCTGCTGCCATCCTTAGCAAAGCATGATTTCCTTAGAAAGAAAGTGTAATTCAGAATGGCATTGTGAATTTAGATGTGTGTTTTGAGACAGAACCAACATTTTCAAGCACTTAACAATATGTGAACAGTATGGGAAAGATGCCATTCAAAAGAAAGATGAATAGGTTTCCAACAGGAAAGAGTGATGTGTGTGTGTGTGTGTGTGTGTGTGTGTGTGTGAGAGAGAGAGAGAGAGAGAGAGAGAGAGAGAGAGAGAGAGAGAATTGGTAAATGCTTGTTATGAAAGTATGAGATTCTGAGTTTGGATTCTCAGTACCTATAAGATACTTGGCATGGCATGGAACACCTTGAATCTTAGTGCTGAGATAAACAGGCTCCTCTGGAGGCTGTGCATGTCAGCAAGCTCCAGTTTGAGAGAAGGGTCACTGTCACAGAAAGTGACATGAAGAGTGAAGGCAGATTCCTGAAGCTCATGACCAGCCAGTCTAGGTAAATTAGTGACCACTTGGTTCACAAAGAGACCTTATCTCAAAGAGTAAAATGGAAAATGGGGGGGCATACTGATATTAACCTCTGGCTTTTACAGTACCCACATGAAACATTTCATGTGCAGGCATGCACACACATCAACACACACACACACACACACACACACACACACACACACAGAGAGAGAGAGAGAGAGAGAGAGAGAGAGAGAGAGAGAGAGGGAGTTAAGGTAAAAGTTATACCAAAGATATTTCCTTTGGCACGTTGTTTCCTTTATAGTGACTGAATATACCCATTTTGCATAATTTCTGCCCATCCTCCTGAGCTAGGATTTACAACCAAAGTGTGCCCTGCTGTGAATAAAAAAGTGCCCAAATAATTAGACCTCAAGGTCTTCCGTCAATAGGTTGCCAAAGCAATGACAGATCATTTCAGTGTTCTTCATCTTTTTCTCTGTCCCACAGGGTGCCCCGACAATCTCACCGATTCCCAATGCTTAAATCCCATTAAGGCTTTCCAAGGCTGCATGAGGCTCATCTTTATTGATAACCAGCCCAAGGACCTCATTTCAGTTCAGCAAGGTTCCCTGGGGAATTTTAGTGATTTACACATTGATCTGTGTAGCATCAAAGACAGGTAATTATTGTCTTGTCTCCTCTGTTCCCCCACCCCTTCCTGTTCTCACTGTTCTAAATATGAGTTTCTTTAAGCAAAGTTCTAATCCACTGACATTAGCCACATTAGACATAATTGAGTCGCCTAATGGAAAATATTTCTGAAAGGATTTCAGGCCCAGAGAAAAACGGTTTAAATTAGTTGAGTCTCTCTTCGTGTTGACTTGCAGCAAATGGGATATGCAAATTAAATCAAAATACAAATTTGTGAAAGGATTAAAATTTTATGCATAAACAACATTTGATTACTTTGAAGTTAAGAGTAAAGCAGAAAGGAGGGAGGAATTTCTTCTCCCCTAAACCAGTTCATTCTTTGCCTGCTGTGGCTAACCTTCCAATAATGGCACAAATCTTCAGGAAATTCATAGCTAAGGGTTTGGCTATGCTAGACATGGATGTCCTCAGTTGGGGGATGGCTGGTCCTAGCTGCTACCAACCCTAATCAAAGAGAGCAGACAGTAGGCTGGTGAGAATCAGTTTTTATTCTGCAGCCCAGAGATCTACCATGGCATTCAGTTTCCAGTTGTATCCCTCCTAGAAATTGGCTCCTGTTACATTGGAAAATTCTAGAATTAAAGTCAGAAAACCAAAGAGAATGAATAGCGAACTTTAGCAAGATTTTGCCATATTCCTTCTGTAGCACATACCTGCTTCATTCTGCTAATTCTGCCTCCCCATCTTGAGATATCAATGAGCCAGTGTGTAAATAAAATTTGTTAAGTGTTTACACATGTTTTGGTATTAGAAATCCTTGGCTACATTAATTAGCTGCTGCTATAAACTGAAACATACCTGTGAAACGCGTGGTGCTAGGAGGAACACATGATACCAGTAAGTTGGTACCACTGTGAGGATAAGGAATGGGACTGAGGAAGTTTGGGTACGTGATTGAATTATATCCTAAAGGATAAGGCAAAACCATGCCCAGCAAAGGTGAGAATAGACAGAAGCTAGTAGGAGACACAGAACAGAGTGGAAACAACATGGTTCCAAGAGTTATCAACTCAAAGGAATTTAGGCTTTGCATTTAAAGTCTCTAGTACTGTGGTGCAGTTCATAACTCTAACAGCATATGATAATTTTCTTGGCAACATTTATTCCCTGAGTAGAAAGTAACTGATGGCTTGTCTTGCAATTTACCATGTCTTAGGTTCAGTTGCTATAGCCCAGGTCCTGGGCCATGCAGATAAGGTACATGGCTTCTATACACATGGGGGTGTGTATGGAGTCATCACAAAGAGAGCCATTGTGCTTGCAGAATTTGGTTCCATGCTCTGTGTGAGAATTAAGGAGGAACACCGTCAGACTTGGTGGCTAGAAACATGAGTTGGGAAAAAATGTAGGGCAAGAGTTAAGGGAGTTTGGGTGGTGAGTGTCCCAGTCCAGGGGAGAAAATGACAAAAAGCACCAGGTACCTTTACTGGAGAACATGGGAAGTCAGCCATTCAGAACATGGTCTCTGCTAATGCTGGAAATGACTGCTATAATTAGATGGAACAGAACACACATTTCTGATAATAAATACCATTTCACATGGGATCACCAACATACTACACTGACTTCTTTTTTATTTTCCCCACATTGACTATTGATCTCATGCCCCCCCAATTTGACCAGATGTGAAAGTGAGCAATAAAATATGTGTTTCATTAAAATGTGCTAATTCAGAAATACCCAAATCAAAGCTATTACAGGAATGGCTACCACCCAAAGTCTATATTCCCAGCAAGGGAGAAGCTTCCAAATCCATCAGCTGGTGTAGTATGTTATGTACTGCTGATCAATACAGGGACATTTGTCAATGGAGATCTCTTTGCTGTCTTAATATACAATCAAGGAAGCTCTCATTATTTTTGATTACATGAAAGTCATTGCCATCTACCCTGCATCATTACTTTTGTGTAATTTTAGTTTTGAGTAATTATATTACATACAATGGTGTTTTGGTTAATTGTATAATGAGGAATGTGTTTCATTTAGTGGGTAAATGGTATGTTTCTGTTGATTTGCAGTCACTTTCTCTAACAAAATGGAAACTGTGGCCAAAACAAATTTACACTTGCTTGACATCTGTGATGGGTGTGCCTGGGTGGGTGGGGAGGTTGTTACAAAGATAGGCGATTCCTGACTTTTGCGTTTTTCTTTTATTTATTTACTTTTTGTAACAAAGACACATGTCACAATAAAAGTGCCTTGATACGTAAACTAGGAGCAACAATAGACATGTAAAATAAAGAGGTCAGAGGCTAGAGGTCAGGCAAACAGAGAGAAGCCTTTCCTGCTTGGGGAAGCAGACACAAGGGGTCTCTGGGGCTCCCCAGCCAGCTGAAAGGGTGAGAGTCAGGTTTAGTATAAACTGCTCCACTGCTCTTTTGGTGTAGAAATCAGTGTGAACTTGTTAGCCACTTGGTATGAACATGCCTGCTAGTGGTGGCAGGCTTGGGGGATGACTCTGGCTGCAGTTTCCCTAACACTGCTCCAAGGAGCACTGAGTGTCTCTTCTTGAACCTCAGATACCACGGTCTCTATCCTTGCCTTCTCATGGGCGTTTCTTCCTTCACAGCGTCATGGGGACCCCATGCACATCTGGAATTTTATTTCCTTGTTCCCAACTGTGCCGCTTACAAATTTCAATGTCTTAGTGTTGGTCCTTTTCCCAGAAGTTGGACACAGGAAGGCCATGGCAGTCTTAAGAGAAAAGAAACACATTGTTCTTTCTTCTTCTTCTTTTTTTAATCGTAAGGGGCTCCTCTGTGGACTCTTACAAGCTCTTTGAAAGGGTGCTTGCAAACTGGTAGGTTCTGTTCTTTGGCATTGGGTAAAATCAGCCTTTCGAACATCATTTTATGGCTGGAGAGATGTCTTATTAGCTGTAAGTATTTGCTTCACAAGTGTGTGTCCTGAGTTCAGATCCCAAAACCCATGTAAGCAAGGTCACATGTGACGACTATAACTCTAGTACTGTGGGAGATAGTGCTGGAGGGTCCCTGAAGCTTACTGGCTATCATCCTAGACAGAAACACCACCAACAAAAACAAACAACATAATTACTGCGCGTTCCAGGTTCCAGGAAGAACCTTGCCTCGAAAGAATAGTAGAGGAGGATTGTGCACAGGCATGCTTATGTGCACATACATGCACATAACACACACAACAAATAATGTTGCTAAACCTTTGTTAGGACTGACAGTCACTGGTTTATATTCAGCTTTCTGGAATGGCAGAAATATTTTGGATGTCACGTCCCATTCCCTGTGAACTGCCCTCATACAGCAATCATACAGGGGAAGCTTCATGGATATCATCCAGTCCTGGTCCCAAACATACAGAAATGAACGGAACATGGAGGGTCCAAAATCTATTATGGAAGCAGGGGTTATTGCCCTGGTCTCTACTACTGTATCCTGAGCACTTCTATTCCATTTAAAAGTGCAAACCATTTGCTTTTTTTCTACTGGGTGGATCACACACCAAACAGTTCAGTTTCCTGCAGCCAAATATGTTATAAAACACGGTTTCCCCTCCATATCTGGTTCTTTTTTTTTTTTTTTTTTTTTTTTTTTTTTTTTCTCCTAGCACATTTTCTACTAAGAAGAGCATGCGTCTCAATCTCTGGTCAAGATTCGTAGCTTTTCAGCTTGAGCACGGGGAGCCACAAGCACAGAGAATGAGAAAACATTATGTTGGATAACCTCCACAAACAGATTCTTGATACATCCCACCCCATGTGTGGGTGGGTGTTAAAAACAGTGGGTAATATAAAAAGATTGCTTTGCTGGGTAATACATATGTGTCTGAGTGCTTATCTAAAACAGAAAGCCTTCATATCAGGTGCCAGGAAAGCCATGGTAAGGGCAATGCCCACACAATCTAAACTCTTCTCTGTAAGTGAGAAATGCTACAATATGGTATTCTCCCTTCATGCATGAAATAGGGCCAAAATAAGAGCAGGCTCATCTCTGTGGGTTTTTTTTTTTTTTTTTTTTTTTTGTTTTTGTTTTTTAATACTTTTTTGCCCTGTTTCATGGAGGAAAAGGAAAGGTTGTATTTTTTTGCAGTAATTCCTAAATAAGCATTTTTTAAATATTATTTTCTTTGACTCTCTCCACATTCCTACAAAGCCCAAGTGGCTCTTCCAGTGTAACTTGTTAGGGAAAGAAATGTCTAAGGCTAGAAGGTAGCTCTGAAGTTGGAGCCCTTGCTGCTCTGGGAGAGGACCAGGTTTGATTCCCAGCACCCGTGTATTGCAGTTAAATAAGGATCAGGATAAACAAATAGGCCGAATAGATGTTTATTCAGGGAGAAATAACTTACAACCTAGACAGATGAACACCAGGAAATTCCACCCGATCCTCTCCTGTCCGAGTCCCATCAGCAAGAGAGCTTTTCCCTTTCCTCCTCATCTCCTAGTCCCGCCTATCTTGCTTTCCTATTGGCCAACAGTGCTTTATTCATTAAACCAGTATGAGAAACATATTTATAGAATCACATCTCTCATCATCTCCTCTTTTCTGTCTAAATAAAAAGAAGGGTTTTAACCTTAACATAGCAAAATATATCACACAACAGTTATCAAATAAGAATCACAGTTAACACTATTTAGTCCATTAACATTTAGCAAGATTGAAAGAGACTATTCTATCATCTATCTTATATTTGTGAGTCTAAATTCCTATATGTAACTTATCTTTAATCCTAACTAAGGAAAACTATAACTATCTGTCTTCAACTCCTTCAAAGACCACAGAAGGATAGTATATAAAGAGACATCTTGCCTTGTCAGTCACCTGAATTTCTTCGGTAATCTTCCATCTTCAGCCCATAGGCCATAGTGTGTCTGGCAGACTCTTCAGCAAAGTAGGAAAGTTTAAACTGTCTGCCTGTATTGGCAGTTTGTCAGTCACTTTTCTCTGTGTCCTGTAGACTGTCTGGCAGACACTTCCACGAAGCAGGAACTCTGTA